AGCTTAGTAACTAAGCTGTATTTCGGTCTACAAAAATATGAAATGTCGAGCAGACTAAAAACACAATCTACCGCCTTGAAATCTTGGTTCAAAAAAATGAGATGACATCCCAACACATGAAAATGGCTGAGAAAGCCACTAGGGGAACATTCTGAGTTTTCGATTAGTTATTTACATGCCATATATTGAAGTAAGTGTATATTAGGGACCTTTTTCAAAAATCGAAAGAGGTGAGCGGGACCACTGTGTTTGATTCATTACATGATTGATGTACCACAAATAGAAAAGAAATGAGGTTCTTATTTTACATTTTAGCTTGTCAATGTCTGTAATTTGAGATTCTAATTTGTACGAAACTATAGACTTAGTATTTTGGCATCACAAGCATCTAATTTGAACCAGTGCTGCGTTCAACATACCAAGTGACACACCAAAAATCGATGTTTAGGTGTGTTTTTTATTATTTACTTTTAAATTAAGAAGTTAAGTAATATATATAATACTAAAATTTGAATTATAATCTACACTTTTATACCAACCTTAATGATATAAATTCATAAAATAGTAGTTCAATAAAAATTTTGGATGCGAGTCAACAAACGCGATGGCATAGTCTTTGACCCGTGACCCGTGTGGAAAGAGTTAAAATGAGGTGCAGGCAGTTGCCTGCTCCCAGTATAACCACTGCAATGATGTATTTTGAAAATTAAAGGAAGGCTGTCCTCTTTTCCAAAACACAGAATATGTACATTTTAATAAATGTGGTTTCGTTTGGTGAAGTCAGAAGACTAATGTTGTGATGCATATACATAACATAATCCTTACATTCCACATCTTTCCCACAACCAAACAAGGTGTTTACCATCACCAGTACGCCTTGTCAGCCTGGAATCCTTCTGACCATTTCAAGGATCTGCAGAATTGTGGTAAGATGCTGGTGCTCCAGTTGGTAATCTTTCTCATAGACTTCATATATAATAAACAATTTACATCTCTTTCTGATGGTAAGTGATCCTGAACAATAAGTGACAGCCTCTAGGCTACTCACTGTACATTTAGGGGCCAATAAATCCCTCTCCATTTGCTCTCACAATGCCCAGATTATTCATTCATATCATGACCCCTGCCATCTTGAGCACTTGCATGTGAGAAGTAACCAATAGAGGTCAAGTTGATGTAACTTGTTGAATCTACCCTAACTGTCTTTCACCCTCTCTGCCCTATAGATGGATTGGGAATGAATGCTTTATTTTTTTCGTACTCAACAAGAACACTTAGGAGGGCTTCTCCTGGTCCTTGCTTCACTCTTAGATCATGTCTTGAGCTCAGCTGTATCTTTCTTTTCTCGAGCGCGTCAAACTTTCAAATTTATAAATTTGTGGTCACAGATAAAAATGTAACGTCGAAAGAAAATAGAAACTTATACAAGTAAAAAGAGATCCACTCTCAGTTTATGATAAGATGCAAATTTTTTTGGTGTCACTTGAGTATATTCCAAACCTTATGGGAGAAGCGATACAGAATGTCTGACCATGTAAATACAAGCTATCTTGAATGACCAGTTTAGTACGTAATTTTAACCTGAAGCCGGGCGCGTGACCTAGTGATTAGCGGGCCCTGAATGTAAAACCAAGGATTTAAAATATGTGGCGTGTTGCCCAAAAAAGATGCTCCGTAATTTTGGGCCAAATGTAAACGTAATGGTTAAATCCCGCTATCCAGTCGTACTAGAGTAGCCCAAGAGTTGTTGATAGGTGCTGTTAACTAGTTGCCTTCCATATGGTCAATCAGTTAAAAGTTAGCCTTGAAGAAGGACTCAGCATGGAACCCGAAACGTTGTCATCAACAAACACAATGAAGGAACTGTCCACTAAGAAACGTTCTCCAAATTTTTCGTTATGGCTTTTTTTAACATCATAAATATTCCTTACATTAGAATTAGTTTTATATTTTCAACATTATTTCATTGTCAATTTAAGATCTTACCCAGAAAACAAACAAAATACATTAGCCGAATTTGTTTCTCTCATTTATTAAGATTTAGTCAGGTTTCAGAAAAAGTGAAGCGGTGAGGACGCTAGCAGTAAGGCATAACAATAATATGACATCATAGGACAAGATATAGGTATGTCATTCGTATAGCTGTGAGAAAGCAAGTTCTTTATGTATAATGCTATTTAAATTGTAATGTATTTTTATGGTTTAGTAGTAGTGAATAAATTATGAATTACCATAATATATTTCTTTGCTATCATTTTGATTTCTTAAAAGTAAAGGGACACTTTGTGTTAAGCAGTCATACATGATACATGCATTACCACTGACAACGTTGTACAGTGGTGTACTGTGCAAACTGTATAATGTATTGACTAGAGACTTGATTATAACACTGACTATTACCAGTTTACCACTATAGTCTTAGATAGGCTAAAACAGACGTGTAGGTTGTAACTTGTCTTAAGTTACTTAACTAACTTGTGTGTTCAGGCCATCAACTTCAAGCACTCAAGTAATAATTATCGAAGCTTGAATCTTTATGTAAGTTAACTTACAAGCAGTAATAGCATTGTCTGTTTATGTTACATAATAAATTTTATTATCTGTTCACTGTAGACGAATGAGGCTTTAAGTATAAACTTAAACTAAAGTAAGATCATTGTAATGGTTACTTTTTATTATTGTTTTATACATGATGTTCATCTGTATTTGCATGAAAAAATATCCTGTAATTGAATTTTTCTTTTGTTTGAACAATTTGAACCAATTTATTTTATTACTGTAAAAAAAATAAGTAAGTTGTGCTTGATATTGAGTAATTTTTTGCATCTTATAGGTGATAAGATTTTGGTAAAGCATTCCAAAATAAAAAGTGAACTTTCTCCAAGGTTATATTAATGGGGTCAAAACAAAGCTGCAGTAGTTCCCAAAGTTTGTCAGGAACTGGAGATGGTCAACCAATGGAAGTGATTTCTGATAGCCAACAGACTGGATCAAATATTGGTGGAAGACAAAGATTTTCATCTGGCATAAGGCAGCGTACTCGAAGCCTTACAAATGTGGGCAGTGGACAACCTGAGCAAGTACTTGGATTGTCATCAGTTCATGGAGCTGGACTAGGTGGCTCAAGATCACCAGATTCAGACTTTGGATCACCTGATGAGATGCTATCGTTCACTGGGATGTTTTCTGCTCATTCACTACCCATACAGTTGCTCACTTTGAATGGTAAATATAATTGACTAACTTTCTGTGTAATAATTACAATATTTTGGCACATTTGTGGAAATTGTGAAGGTGAAAACATAGTTACATTATTTTTTTTTTCCATTAAGTATTCTATATTTAATCAAGGTTAGTTGAAAAATATAATTTCCTACTGTGATGCATAAAACTTTGTTCTTGTATAATGTAATCTAGGTTTTGGTAGAGCAGGTCATTCACATATCAGACTTTCAACTTGTGACTGATCAACCACATATAAACACATAATACATGATCTTGTAAGATCCAGAAAATAATACTGTTTTTAGTCTGTAAGGTATACTAAGCTTGAGTATTCTAAACTTGTAACTAGTTTTAAGTAAAGTCTTTACTTCCACAGATCATTTAATACTCATTTCATACTAATATTAACTTAAAAAGGCCCAACACATAGTTTATTATTGTGTATATTATGTGTTTTTTTGTTTTTACTACCTAAAAGTTACCATTTATGTGCTTGTCATTCAACTAACCTATACCTGTGTATCTTGTACACTTAAGTTTTCTCTCTGCATGCTCTGGTAAGTACTAATAATTTTAATTTTTTGTGTTAATTGAATACATACATGGACAGATTGTTACTTTTAGGGGTTTTAGTTTGTTTCTTTCTTTGATAATATGGAGCACTGCAAATGAGCTAGATGGACTTCAGGCACACTGCTTATTTTTGTGTTTTTGTTTGCTTGTTATAATGTTTTGTTTGTCATTTTTTAAGTGTTTGTTGAATACACACATGGATGTGTAACTACTTTTAAGGGTTTCAGCTTTTATTCTTTGATAATTTTAGCCTACCTGAATAAGCTAGATTGTCTTCTGTAACATATTTTTTATATCTTTGTTGTTGTGAACTTTTAAATGGTTTGTGTATGTCTCTGCTGTTTATGTGTTTATTGTAATTACCAAAGTAAGACATGGTAATCCATAACAAAAATTATATTCATAAAATATTGAAATTTTAAATATGTGTTGTTTCTTATGCAAAGTATAAAGTAATATTTCTTTCAAAAAATTGTTTTATCTTGATGGTGATAGATACTTAAATCCCTGACATTGATCATTTTTAACTATATGACTAAAAGAAATATATTATTTGTACACATTAAGTGTTTTTAATGTTTAGTGTTCATTAAATTTTCCTCTGTTGGCTAAAAGTTAATATGATAGGCATGCATTTTCAGTGAAATTTGTTACAGATAAACAAAGTAATTGGTGTTTGTAAATTTTTTATTTTTTTTGGTATGCAAGTCCAAAATGTTATGTTAGAAAACAAATCATTTACATGTTTGTATAGAAAAGTTTGTTTTTAGATGTACTTGTCATAAAAGAATGAGATAAGTTACTATATAAGGAAAATACTTAGTTTCATAAAAGCTATTAGTATAATTTGTTTTTTATAACTTTTTTACTGTCACATTTCATGGAAATTTAATTGTTAACCTGTACATTTACTGTAAAATATGTAATCAACATTGAGCCTATCATTCCAAAAGAATCTAAAACCATTACCTTGATATTGGTAATATTAAGAAGTGAGAAAAAAATTGTTCCACACAAATTCAGAATTCTTGTTTAACAGGTCTTGTCAAGGTTTTTCCACAATTCTTATTAGTACTTGCATCCTGTTGTTAATCAATATCAAGTGTGTTTCTGTGGTAAAAAGTCCCTTCCTTGTATTTCAATATATGTTGTCCTCATGTAGATGTATTAAATGTATTGTGTTAAAGAAGGTTTTAGCTGACTTGCAGTGGTTGAAATGCATATTACTTGTGCATGTGTACTGCTAGTGAATGAAGCAGGTTTTTATTTTATTTTTGTTGTTGTTGTGCAAGGTTTCATAACAGTAACTGTTGAAGGAGCTATTCTCTTAGTAATTCAGGCCAGTGAGTTTGAAGTGTACAAATGAGTAACAGGTACTCAGGTACTATTATAAATGACAAAGCAAATAAAGTTATAATAAAATCTTAAAGTTACATGCACCTACTAAAACAGTTTACTTTATAAATAATATTAGAGATCTTTCTAAAATAAACAGTAATTTAGCTGTTCCTTTCATGAAATGATCATAACCCTCATGTTTTGAGGATTTTATTCTGTTTCAGCAAATGATTTTGAGTGTACCAAATTAAAGAATGCTCTGCTCTTTCTAATACTTAAATAAGGTAACTACACATTTAGTTTAGAAAAGGTATAAAGCCATAAAGTAGATTATATTATTAATGCAACAGAATTAAACCCAAGTTTCTATTTTGCATTGAATTCAAACAGGGTTTTCACAAGTTTGAAAATGTCATAAATTTAAATAGGTTCTTAAGAAGGTCTTGATTTGACTGAGTCTTGAAAAGTACCAAAAATGCTTTTTAGGTCTGGAAAGTACTTAAAATTTTTACTTATTAAGTATTAAAACATTTCAGAAAAAAAAAAGATTTTGGTACTGTTTGCAAAATCCTATTGATAGATGTGTTTTAATGCATGATTTGTATTAAATTTTTCATCCATATCATTCTTCTTGTTTTATGGGGTGTCACCACGACTGTTCTCTTAGACATCTCAAAATATAATGTGAATGGGGCAAGCATTTATTCAACATACTTGTTTGATACTTTTCACTATGATATAGGTCCAGCTTATCTCTCTTTGGTTAACTTGTGTTCAGGGTTACTGATGAGGAATGGAATTCTCCAAAACTAGTATAACCAATATTACACACATTGATCAAAGTGTAGATTGAACTGGACCTCCCTTGAATACTAAGTTTATTTATTATGTTGGCTGGATCTTTGCCCCATCAAGAAGTAGTAGTTAATCACATTATTCACTGTGAATTAAAGCTAGGGTTTTCTTAAGGCATATTGAAGCTTGTATGTCATCATGCAGTCTAATACCAAGTGAAATTTGCATCATCATGGGTCACTGCATCTACCTAAAAAATGGGGAGGCAAAACCTCAGTACAGACAATAGGTTCAAGGAGTAAACAGAAACAAGGGAAATACTCATTTCATTCTGTGTGACATTCATTATATTAAAGATGTGTAAAACTGCTATTAAGTCACATGAAAATGTAACTTTCTAAAATACACTGTCACTTCTTATCAGCAAAATGACCTGAAAAAAAAAACTTAAATCATATGTTAGAACAACTAAAACAAAAGTAACCTGATACTTACAAATGTATGTTCAGAACATTTGTCATTCAGAAATGCTACTCACCTTTCTACAACACCAAGAACAATTACTTCACACACACTGCTGTATAATTTCTTGCACATGCCACAAGTGTTGAACAAAGCTCCCACCCCTACATGTGTCAACCTATATTGCTTCAGAGTATACTTTAATCATCATTAGACTATAGCTCTCCACCATTAAGAGGGCGATACATTCTCCATATGCAGTAATCTCCATGATCACTAGCATCTTAAAACAGGCTTATTCTTTCCTTGGCACTGCTGGTCTTCAGACCTATTTTTTATTCAATTTACTAGTGTATTTATGCTCTTGGAACACATGTCCCATTGTCTATTTCTGTTGTTTAATCAGAGATATGGGTTTTATCTCATACTCTTCAAAGTCATAATTAGACCTATGCACCATTGTCATACCTGACACTTTTTTTCCGAACTGGCAACAAAAAAAATCAGACTTTATGTATTTTGCAAAAATGGACCACCACCACATCAGTTTCAAGGTTTAACTTGATTATTCATTCATATTTCCCATGTTTTGACATCTCCCAAGGCTTTTAATACTTTGTGACAGAAGTCATCTAACACTTTCATACCAGCTGTAGATACTGACAGTCAGTGATATTACCACCATTGTAGCTGGTTCCATTCTTATCTCGTATCCTGGATTCCCAACCTCCTGCATCTCTTACTTTAGCTGTGCCTGCCCCATCTTTTATTTCATTACTGCTGTTTCCATACATATATTTGCTTCTCATTCCCTCTTCCTGACATAGATCAGGTAGTCCTACTTTAATCCTACACTATTTGGATTCCACAGGTAGTGCCCTTTGTTTTCTCTTTCTCCAGTAAATGTTTGCTAAATCTTGCCTCCCTTGTTGCCCGATTCTCATTCAACTGAACATTTTCTTTTAGTTTAGGGATCTCTTACTTTCTCTTTTCTTTCTCTTCATCTCTTACATGACTTCTTTGTTCTTCTTCATGCTTCCCATTCAACTGGAAGCTTTCCATCTCAACCCTATCAGCTTTACTGGGGTTAATTGCACAGACCTGTTTTCCACCTTGCCCCTGGTTTTCTTCCATCTTGTACCAGTTGTCTTGGTTTCTATGTTTCAGGGGTGTACATTGTCAAGTTGACTTTCTCCTCCCACAATCTTCTCTCCAGGTCCTCTGTGTAGCACCTTTTCTTTGTTTATTATATTTCTTATACCTTGCTATATTCAGCTGATGCAGCTGTTCAGCAACCATTTCTGCTCACTTTGGTTTTTTGTCCTTAGAACCAAGGGGCCCCTACCAAGTTTTCATCATATACAGCCTCATAGAGGTCCCTCCCTCATCTTTTGTTCCTTTGTGTAATGGCAGTCACAGATCTTGGAGGTGATTTGTTTCTAAAGCTCCAGTCCTATGGGAGCTCTGGTGGATTTCCTTTGCTACATCCTATTGAGTCCCTTAGTTGTTTTCTCGGTGTTTTTTTTCTATACTTCTACTTTTAACCTCTCCTGTTTCAAAAGCCATAGGAAAATTCCTCATCCCCATTTTGTGCTATTACTCCTGTGTTTTTTATCATTCCCACAAAATGGAAAGTTGTCAGCCATATACTAATCTATACCATTTGCCTCAACTTTGGTCTTTCCTTGGTTCTTGATGAGCAGTTTCTCACTCTGGTGACCAATCACCCTAATGGTGGATGAACAGTTCACTATCTTCACTTACTGATTTGTCTGCCTGCCTTTTGCTTCCTCTGGTTCATCCATAATATTTGAATATTTGGTTCTCAGTCTTTCCGTTTGAGTTGGCTATGGACCCATCCTTTTTTACTAGGTACAGTGGGTTTTCACTGGGGGTTGCAATCTTGAGGGTTATTATTCCACTAATCTATGGATGTTTAATCTCTGCTTGTCCCTTCCCACATGGCTTTCTCTGTTGTAACATCGTTATCCATATTTTGGATGGCTGCTTTTGCTCTCCATTTAAATCTCAACCCCCACCCAATATTTCCTTCACTTAGGGTTTTTTTCACTTCATGTGTGGGGCTGGCTCAGCCTGCTTTTTTGTCTCTGTGTCATAGTGCTTTTTATACCAGTGCTCTTATGTCTTCAACATTTTCTGCATGAGTCTTTTTTCTGTAGAGTCTCATGTTCTTCTTGGACATACCTATACATGTCCCCTTCAGTGGTTTCTGGCCTGTCACTGCAGATATCTCTAGAGATACAATATCTTGTTTTCAACCTCTCATGGTCATGGTAGCTCACTTGATTCCACATGACCCTGGACAATGTCCTACCCCCACATTACCTGGACTTGCATCTGTTTGGAGCTCTCCAGGACTCGGAAGACAGACTGCGGATTCCTTCTGCTTACATATGTGGGTTTTCATATCTGTAGTGAGCACAGCACTTGTGGCTTTTTGTGTTGACTTTGTCAATCCTACAATCACGCTATTCCACTGTCTCTGTTTTGTTGAGGTGTAGTTCTTTTCTGACATCTGGTTTTCAGGGGCACAGTTTTTCTGTCTCTGTGTTCTGAGCTGGTGGCAACTTGTAGGTTTGCCATTTGTCTTCTGTTTTGTCTGTCTGGTCTTTTATGATTCATTCAGATACCTCTGATGTTTTTTTCCTTCCTTTGACAACAAGGAATTTACTCCAAAAATTTCAGTTTTTCCTGGCTTTGAACTCTTTCATTTGTGCTCACAACACCATGTTCAGTTGTTGTTCTATCATATCTTGAAAACTAAGGTCATGATGACAGATCAACTGTCTTGCCTAGGCTTGGACCATTCCCACAGTGGTTATTCCATCTTCTGGTATTTTCAGTAGATTGGCTTTCACTGTGGGCATCCTATCATCAATAACTTTCCACTTCCTCTCTATTCCTCACTACCACTCATTTGGTATTCAATCCCAGACTACAGCTCTGGCTATAGATGTTCTTTGTCTGATGTGATTCAAACTCCATCTATATGCTTTGGTCATGCTTCTTCCACTTTTCCCTTACAGGAACATAACTTGCCTTTGTATCTTCCTTCTACACAATTTACCTTAGGGACAGCTTCATCTTCCAGAACCATCTCTAAGCTTGGAAAGGTAATTGGATGTTTTCTACATACATCCTCCCAGTATTGAAATTCTGACCCAGATCATATCCTTTATTCTACAAGGTGTATTTATTATTATCTTGCAGCTTCTCTAGCCTCTAGCCATTGACCTCTCCAGCATGGGATCTTATATGTGAGGATGTGGTTGACTCTCATATGTTAGTGTCCTAGTACTTACACCCCCCTAGTGATGTTTCACCTACCCTGGCTTTCGTCTGCTTCCAGTCACCATTCTCCACTCTTTACAGTGGCTCTGGTGGTGAGTTGTATATTTTCTCTTTCAGGTCAATACTATCTTATTCAACATCTATATTATGGAGGCAATGGAACCCCTCGAGTGACCGAAGTTGCCTCACGGGGAATATATACCCAAAATCCACATTGATCTGGAGAGTATGAAAAGTGTTAAGCCCATCCACTCCTGCTCAGTGTCCGCTGTTGAGATGGGATTTTCTGCAATACTGCTTTGGCAGTGTCTGTGTATATTTTATATTCCAGGCTGTTCTGCACTGGACAAAAAAAAAGAGAACAACAGCACCAGATGTGTCCGTACCCTCACATCTTGCTCTCACTTGCTGTCTTTAGTCGTGGTAACCCGTTACAATGTCTCTCATTCTGTGACCTAATTTAGTTGATTGTTTCTTGTGAAAATGGTTCACACACCTCTCCAGTGTTCCCTACACCATTTATTCTAGTAGAGTATAGGAGGGCCCTTGCTTCCCCAGTCCTAAGCCACTGGGAAGTCAGTATGGAGAGTTTCTCATTGGGTGATGTATTCCCACTGGTACGATACCAAGTGCACGCACCATTCATTTGGGAAGCTGAGATGTTACATGGTAGTGTAGTAAAAAACACATTGGTACATTATGAACTAAGCTGCTCCTGATGGTTAGGTCCAGTGGGATGGGTCTTGGGTTTGCCTCAGGACACAGGTCTGGGATGCAACTTCCTGCATCTGATTTTTTGGGTTAGTATCTTGCATAAATATATCTCCAATACGGACCAGCCTGAATTATTGCCCTAGCCACACTACCACATTCAAGTTCAGCTTTTCGTGGACAGTTGAGCAATCTACAATTCCACCCACCTTAGTGACATATTAGCACCAAGCAAAAGATTTTCAAACAATATCTTTTGCTCTACCACTTCTAGTGGGCCAAGATTATTTTCTGCTTGATTTGGATACAGTATCCCACCAATTGTTGTCCCACTAGGCTACCCTCTATCTCACAGATGTCAAACTCCATGGACTTTCCATTTCTGTTGCTGTTTTTAGAATGGGACTCATCTTTGTAATTTCTGTGCACTGACCTCTCCACCATTTTCAGTATGGGCTTCTAGCTCTTGATGGTGTAGAGAGGTGAGAAGTGTTTCTAAACTTAACATTTTCCTTACTTGAAAAATGTATTTCAAGTATATACTTGTCTTGCTGCACCACCTCCCACCCTTTCTCCCCACATCTGGTGCATTTACTTTGCCTCATCAAGAGCCTGTGCTCATGTACTAGTGTTTAGGGATTACTGCACATGGAGGCTGTGTTGTTCTCCTATTGGTATTCTCCTATTACCTCACAGTGTATGTGAGGTAATAGCTCATGATGGTCCAGAGGTAATTATTTTTCTGATATACATTTTCGGGTAAGGAAAATGTTAACTTTCAACAAATGTGAATCATTGAATGTCATGATTATAATATATAAATGTAAACAATAGTAATTATGTCTATGATTTGTAAAGTAAAAAGTACAATGAAAAGCATATAGCATTTATTTGTTTGTTCTTTTCACAATGGTGTTTGTTTGAAAAAGTCTAATTTGTATCAATTTTGGTCCTGAAAAGATCTTAAAATATATATGCAGTGAATGTATGAAATGTTAAAGTTACAATATTTTCAACCCTTTTCAGTCCAATCAAATATCAGCAGTAAAAAATGGAGAGTATATTTTTTTGTCAGTTTAGCATCTGGTAATTTTTTAAGTTAACAAAAAATGACCCAATCAACTTTAAGTAACAAAAAGACATAACCTAGTCCATGTTGGAAAAAGAAAGCTATTATAATATCGATAGTGAACTATCAATTTCTAAAGGAAAGCATTTATTTAAAAACTGCAAAACACGGCCTATTGCAAACTAGTCATTATAAATTTACAATCATGAAACAGTAGTCAATTAAAATGGCAAACTTAGTCTTGATAGAAAATATACTTCAAATTAAGCTTATTCATATCTGAAAGCTATATTTGGAAATATGAAATCTAATAATTCTAATGAGATTTTTAATCTTCTAGAAAATTTCATTTCATTCCTTTCTACATATGATTAAATAGTATCAGACAAATCAAAAATTATTTTAGAAACAAAATTACAAATTGCTTAAAAAAACTGAATTATAATCAATATGTTCACTGTATGTCATAGTGTGGCTTTTAAACAATCTGTGATCTGCCAAATGCTTCTTATATTTAGGAATCAAATGTCCAGTATGCTCCAAAATAGTAGTGTCAGATGATGTTGAGTACCACCTGGTCATGTGCCTCACAAAGCCAAGACTTAGTTATAATGGTGAGTTCATACTCTTACTTACAAGAACCAGACTTAATAGGTTGTAATTCATTAAGACTGAGTTTCTGTGCAATTGTAAGTGTATAATTAAGCTCAGTATGTGTTTTCTATAGTTTTAAATATTACAAGCAATTAATCGTTTGAGGGATGTTCAGAAAAAATTTGATTTTCTGGGTATGAGTATATTTTGGCTACACAGTTATCATTGTACTAGGTCAGTTTCTATCTACTGCTGAAAGATGTTCTCCCAGAACATGATAATCCCAGGTCCCACATTGTTCATTGTGTAATGACTGTAATTTAAATTTAGAATTTCAAATGGTTAGTCCTTCCCTATATTGTGTACAGTCTTCACTTGGCACCCTGTGTCTTTTATCTTCTATGACCAAAAAATTGTGCTTTTAAAATGGCTTTGTGCAGGCACATGTGTTTTATTAAACTCATATGGTAAAGGTCATGAAACAATGGAGAAAATCTGTGTTACTTCATGAGTACTGTGATGAGAAGTATTGTTTGGTTGGCTAAATCCTCAACACCATTATTGTACTTTTTTTTTAGTTGTTGTTGTAAACTGATAAGGTTGACCCAAAGGAAGTTAAATCCCAGTTGTTTTAAACAAACTATATATTTTTGCATTAATAATTAATTTTAACATATCTATAACAACTTACCAGGCATTTGACTATAATTTTGGACAATTGTAGGTTATACTTTGTTCTGATGTGCGTTGTTTTCATATATTTTTCACAGTACTCTTCACTGTGGAATATAGATTGTTAAATGTGAGTAACATTCTGCATAAATTGGAAGAAAATATTGGATTTATTAATTACTGTAATGATAAATAATTATTATTAATCTCACTTATTTTTTAAAGATGTGTTGCTAAATATGAGTGTAATTTATATTAGGGCAACATACTTTCATCACTGATGAATTGAAATTGTACATCCTGATTATCACGATTTGAAATCTACTTCAATATGTTTTGTATTTTTTAAAACATTTGAAAACAAGTACATATGTATTATTTAAAAATGCAATTGTTTTTCACACAGATGATATTCTGCATGAAGACAAAGGAGAGTGTGTAATTTGTCTGGAAGATCTTGTACAAGGAGATACTATTGCACGTCTTCCTTGCCTTTGTATATACCACAAAATGTGAGATCATTGTTACAGAGGTTTGCAAATCAACCCTTTCACTGCATTGTGCCATAGGGCCTATGGCATGATTTATGTTTATGTGTTGTGCCATAAAATCTATGACATATACTAACCCTCTTTCCCTAGATTCTGGTTCAGACTTATTTCCTTGGAAATGCATAAAATACATCCTAGGGAAATCCCCAAGTTTTCTAGTGGTTAAATGTTGTATAAATCATGTGAAAAAGTCTTGTGGCTACCATATATCTTAAACAGGATAATGTACTTCCAAAACATACTTATCCTCTGCTGCCACTTTAGCTATTCCTCGACATTGGCTTTGTGTATCTAAGCATTGGTCTTGCATGCTCCAGTCTTTTATACCCCACTTAAATGCCCTTGGCAATATCTAATTTGCAAATCCCTCCACCCACGTCAGTGCACCTTCCATCCTGACACTATATAAGCACTTCCCTCAGATAATGTAATCACTTTTTCATGACAAAGTGTTGGTCACGGTTTTTTCTAACGAACTGCTGTGATTCGTTCCACTATGGATTGTGATTTTCGTGTTGCCTTGCATATTTCTGTATAATTATAATTTCTTTAAAAAACAACAACAATGGACATGATGTATTACCTTTGTCAACACAGCAGTTAATCCGACCTCCCCTATTCCTACTTTGTTATCTAGCATCTCTCTATGGTCGGGGAGAGGGGGTCACTGAGGCTGTCTGTATTTTGATCCATGGGAGATGAAGACATACAGTCGGCCTGGAGGTATTTTCTTCTGGGGCCTCTGACGTTGTTTTTTGTTGATCCTGGTTTTTCTGGGTAGAATTTGAACTCTGTTTTTCTGACTCATGTAATAAAGCAGTAAGTCTCTCAACATAAACCAGGAATATTAGGTAAAGAAGGAAAAACTAACTAGTCTGCCCCTCCCCCAACCATTCCACCACCAAGGGAGGAGTAGACTCAAAGGTCACAGAGAAAAGCCACAAAAACTCATAAACCCAAATGACTAATTGAAGAAAAGGAGTAGGAGGTGGGTGATCCAAATTGAACTCGTGACAAACCAACTTAGGAAGAAAAGTTGGGATAGATATACCTTGTACCCTCATTTGTTTGTAGGCATGCTTTGGCTTTCCACCTCTAGTGGATGTATTTTTCAATTCATCAGACTAAAATAATTTAATTTTGGATACGTGGGGTTCCAGGTTGGCTTGTGTGATTACTTTGAATCAATCACAATTTTTATTGTATTTGTTTGCTCCTCATGCTTTCTTTGTGATGTTTCTTCCCCCGCAAATTGTTGGCGAACTATCAGTGGTCCCCACATTAATCTGTGAACAAATTGGGTCTCCTACTGACTTTTACCTTAGTCAGATTGACTCTTCCTTTGTTAGAGATACCTTGGTGATGGGACTTTGTCTACCTGCTGTACCCTCTGGGTGTTGCATGTGGCTTCTTTTTATCGTCACTTGATGTTCACAGGTGTCCCAGAAGTGGTTTATTGCAAATTGCCATCACCCATTTGTTTTTTAGTTATTGTTGACCTCTCGACCTTCTTTGGCTTTTGCAGCTGAATGGACTCAGGGGTGCTCCATTTTGGTCGACTGACACCAATGGGATCGGTATCAACCTAGGTTGGGGAGGTCAGTTAGAGTGAGGTTATAACTATTCAGTGCAGATTCATTGGTACTTCGGGTTCTGGTATCGAGGTTGGTCTTTCTATTCAATTCTCCATTTATCCTCTCACCCTGCAGTATTTCCACCTCCACCTGACCAGTGGGATGTGGATTTTTGTTTCACAGCTATCAGAGTTATTAATCACATGGGTGCTAGTGACAGTTGATCCCATTCTTCCAGGATTTTATTCCTGTTTCTTTGTACCTGAGAGATTCGCGGATGATCATCATTCTTTCTCATCCCAACCCATTCTTCATTCCTTCCCAGTCCATTGGCATTTTTCACCAGGTCTGTGGATGCCCAACTTGGAGGTTGCTGAGGCATTTCTCCACATTCTCATAGTGAATTCATCTTGCCTTTAGCTTCATTTTGTATACAAGGATCAAATTCTGCAGTTCAGGGATCTAGCCTTTGGTCTAGCATCAGCACCATATGTCTTTTGCTGGGTTGTACAAGTTTTCACCATGTTTTATGTCTGGCTCAGCCACCTCCCATCCAGCTCCAGGCTATGCAATGGGTAGTCAGGCTCTTACTTACAGGGAAGGTTTTATCTATGGGGTTGTGGGCTTCCCTCAAATCTCTTGATTCTTTGGAATGAGGACACATGCTATCTCTTCAGTGGTCCAATTGCATACTTTATCTCTTCACAGATACTTCACTTCGGGGATGAGGCTTGCACCTTTAAGGTCAGGAATTCCAGAGTATATGAATGGAGGACGAATCTTCATTCTGTTTCAATAATTTCAAACTTCTTGTTGTCCAGTAGGCAATAGTGCAAGGTCTAGATCTCTTGCATGGTAATATCCTCATGAGACATTTCCTCAATTCCAGTGGTCTCATAAATTTGGTTCTTTCTCTATGGGGCCTATTCCACTCATATCAGCCTCTTGGCTTACCATTTTCCTGGGATGATGGATTTCATAGCAGAACTTACTTTTTCCTGACCAAATAGATTCTCCATTGTGCAGTTTTCCAATAGATTTGTTCTCAATTTGGGCTTTTGATATTCAACTACAAGCTTTGGAGTCTCCACTATCTTATCCTCAGTCTTGGATGGTAGATGCTGCTAGCCTAGATTGGCTGGCCTATCCATGATTTCCTCTTCTACAGTTTCTTCATGCAAGTTCACCTCTGCATCTTCCTCTTTGGCTGTCTTTATTAAGTCATCCTCAACTCCACATTCTACACTAAGACTTTTCCCAGCTCATTGGGGTTTAATGTTTACAGTTGCTTGGGATGTGCCTCACAAGGAGTTTATACCCACTTTACCAAACATATTCACCATATCTTGTTTTGACTTGTCTTTTACTCAGTTTAGCTTTGTATCCTGTCGTTTAGGTCAGACAACTTTTTCATCTCCTTTTAGTTATCCTAAACATATGAAGATTTTGGACTCTCCAGTGGTATCCAGCCTTCTTCCCAAATGGCCTTTTTCTGTTACTTACTCAAGATATTAAGGTGGTATTACGTGCCTTGTGTCGACAACCATTCAAGCCTTTAGCCTCATGTACCATGTATCACCTCTCTCTTAATGGGTATTTTGTTGTTGACATGCTGGTGTCATCGGTTGGAGTTGTTGGCATGTTTGTAGGGCTCTTTATATCTCCCTAGAGGTTCTTCTGTACCCTGATAGGTCCTTTCTTTCTAAGTCTCTGGCCACCAGGGAACTGGATACATCCCTCTCCACAATTCTTTTGCTAACTATTTCTCACATGTGCAATCGATCATACACTGATCATTTGTTTTGTCCTCTCAGGCCCAGAGATGTTATGTGGCTCACTCTGACTCCCTTCATGGTGGTAGTTCTCTTCTCTGTATTCTTTGGGATACTTTGGTTTCCAAAGATTTATCCCCACTTCCTTGGAGGTGGTTTTGCAACCTTCCAAGTTGCATATTCTGGATTTTATAGGTGAGGAATCTTCTTAGAGTTACATCTCATCAGCTTCAGCACACTTATGTCTTTCACTGCCCATTTCTTTGATTCACTGTGGAACATTTTACAGACCTGTATGTGGACTTCTCCTAATGCTTTTCTCTCACATCCTTCATATGATCTGGCAGTTTTCTGCTGGAAGTTTTCCACTACCCCCATGGCCATTTTAACAACATCTGCTAGATTATACAGAGGAGGGAGTATTCTTCTCTTTCTTTTTCAGGGTCCCTTACATCTTGCTTTCACCTGCCTGTCCCTGCTGATATTCATATTGAATAAATCAGGGTCAGTTTGCTTTTAAAAATTTAGGGAACTTGGTTTACCTATTGCACTGTTTCCAGAGCACTGTTCCTCAGGACTCCCCAATGTGCATTACCCCCCAGATTCTACTAGTGGTTCTAGGGAGTCCTTACCTCACCCAGTTTCCAGTTACTGGGGTGGTGGATAGAGGCTTTTCCTCCAGAGTGTTTGAGTGTGTTCCTCCACTCCTGAAGAAGAGGTCAAAGTTGGGGGTCCTCCTACCTGGGTCCCTGAATGTATTTCCCAGATGTCAGTTGGAGCGGCACCACCCTATATGGGAGCCTACTCATAATACTGGTTCAGGTTTGATCCTACACTATCCGGTTGGATTGTGCTTGGCCCTTCTTATGAAAAATGTTGAGTTGTATATTGTTCATAGATGGATGTCCACTATCTCCTCATAATTCCAAACTCTAAGTGGTCCTATCCTAGGTCCTTGGTTGAACACAGTGTTCCATGTCTTCTCTATAATTGCCAAGGGCAAGTGAAATGCTCCTTGTCCATTTGGTTGGGAAGTGAGGATGAATGATCATAATTCCAGACTAGATGAGTTCTGTTTCTTTGGTTGGGTAAGGCATATATGATCCTGTCATTCCAAGCCTGGGGTGGTGCCTTTTGGATTTCTTCAGATGGAAGAAAAAGTTTGTCCACTTCAGTTTTGCTTCCTTTCTTATTGTAATTCCGTTGGGTTGGAATGCATCACTCTAAGGTTACAGGTTGTGATCCATTCAAAAGTATATCTATATATCACATTGCGATCCAATTACCCTAGCCACCAATGTCTGATATAAGGACAATGACCTCTAAATTCCAAACCCGAGTTGTGGAACCTTGGCTATCTGGTTGGGGCTGGCCTATAATAATTAATCATGTACTATTCCACCCTTGATACCAATATTAAGGGCATGACCAAGTGGTTAGGCTGCTCAATTCACAGTCTGAGGGTCGCGAGTTCAAATCCCTGTCCCATCAAAGATGCTCGCCCTTACAGCCATGGGGACATTATAATGTTACGGTCAATCCCACTATTCATTAGTAAAAGAGTAGTCCAAGAGTTGGTGGTGGGTGGTGATGACTAGCTGCCTTCCTCTAGTCTTTCACTGCTAAATTAGGGATGGCTAGTGCAGATAGCCCTCATGTAGCTTTGCGTAAATTCAAAACAAACAAACAAACCAGTATTAATTTCTGTGTGAAGAGCATACCTAGTCTGGATGTTGTGTGGTTTCCCCACTTGGGTACCACTCTTATCTTGGTACACCTCTGTTCTATGCAGACTCTTTCTGTATGGACAATGTCCTCACCAGTCCTTCCACCTTCTCAATGTGGGATTCTAGCTAAAGTGGCGGCAGAGGATAAGTATGTTTTGGAAGTTAACACTTTCTTAAATTGAAAATGTATTTCCAATAATACTTACCTCCACTGACACTCTCCTGCCCTTCCTCCCCACTAAGAGCTGGTGTTAGTGGCTGGGATGGTTTAAGTCTTGAAAAAGTGTTTACATTATCTGAGTGATCACACAAACCAACCTGGAACCCCACGTATCCAAAATTAAATGATTTTAGTCTAATGAATTGAAAAATACATCCACCAAGAGGTGGAAAGCCAAAGCATGCCTACAAACAAATGAGGGTACAAGGTATGTCTATCCCGTCATGTAATAAAGCAGTAAGTCTCTCAACATAAACCAGGAATATTAGGTAAAGAAGGAAAAACTAACTAGTCTGTCCCTTCCCCAACCATTCCACCACCAAGCGATGTGTAGACTCA